TATATGTTCTTTATACACTCATGACTAAGACATTGTGCTGTACACCAGAAATTGACACATTGTAACTGATGGTACTGCAATAAAAAAAGGAAAAGATACAGAAGGAGAATACTAACCAAAATAGATTTGATGTAGTATGTTAATATCAGAAAAATAGAGGTTAGTCAAAAAGCACTGACAGAGATAATGATTATTTCATAATGATAAAATAGCAAATTCACCAAGAACGATATGGATTAGTCTCTCATACACTGCTGGTGAGAGTGGAAATTGGAATAACTACATTGGATTTGCTTAAAACCCAAATACATTTGGCATTGTCTTAAAAGTAAAATACTCACATATCCCATGGCACAGAAAATCTGCTCCTACATCTATATTCAAGAAAAACTATTAATACTTGTGTCCCAGGAGATTTGTATAGAAATACTCCTCAAGCCCTGATTAGAAAAACAAAAAACTGGAAACAATCCAAATGCCTAATGACCCGAAAAGAAAAAATAAATTGTGGTACCCTAACACAATGGACTTTTGTAGAGCTCTCAAAATGAATGAACAATAGGGGTGAAATCTTAGCATAATATTGTGGGGGGAGAAAAACAAGTATAAGAAGACAGCACATAGTAAAGTCATGTTTATAAAATATTTTAAGAAGCAAAACTATATGAACGTTCACACATACCTATAAAAGTCTTGAAACTAAGATAAAAGGCAAGAAAGTTTAAGGATTCTGTTTGCGCTGGATGGGGAAACTCATAAGTAGTTGTAAGTAGGGCAAGTGGGTTACATCACCCCGAGTGGTGCTGTTCCCACAGAATCCAGTGCAGCCACACAGCCGCCCTAGAAGTGAGCTATTGTTAATGACAAAGTTCCAAGAACCTCTAGTGGGTTTGTGGATAACATTGTTTCATATTATTAATATATTTAAAAACAAAGAGGGGCATGCATATACCAAAGCTGAAAGCATGTAATAAATCAAGAATTATAATTAACCCATGATAGTAACTGAGGTTCAGTTTTTTTTAAAAAACCACGGAATAGTCCAGTTGTTTGTACCAAATCACTGATCCTTGAGTTAATCATGCTCCATTTGGCTGAGTAAACCTCTCCCACCTCATTCTTCCTTCCAGTCTCCTGCCGGCTCTGCTCTTGTCACCCTAGCCTCCCTACAGAAACCCAAACAAGCCCAGCTCTCCCCATGTCTCAGGCCCTTTGCACACGGTATGGTTCATCAGCTGGCATATTCTACCCATGGCCCTTGGCAAGCTTACCTGTGCTCATCCCTGGGGTTTCAGCTTCATTGCTCCCTCTCAGGGAGATTGTCCCTGACACCCAGGCCAAAGCAAGTTTCCTCTGAGAGTTTCTGTTTCTTTTCCTTCGTTGTCCATCACACAATTTGAAATTACATGTCTACTTATTTGCATGTTTTTCTTCTCTCCTGACTAGACTGTATGCTCCTCAAGAGCAAGGACCATGCGTGTTTAAATTCACCACTGCAGCCCCATTGCCCAGCACAGGGTCTGACACATGTTCAGATGGGCAGGAACAATGCTGAAGGAGTGAAGAGTATTTGGAAAACCTAGAAATCAAAGGGATCGGCCATCATCTGCAGTCATGACGGTGTATTCCTCTTCCCTGCGTGCATCATTCATCTACATCTTGCAATGCATCGAGAACTTCCAAAACAGTGTTACATGGTCATCTTGATAGTAAGCACTCTTGTTTTATTCTCTGAGTTCAGAGAACTTAGTGGCTCAAAATAGTCCCCTTTCAGAGTATGCTGGATTTTGCTTTACGACTCATCAAAGGTGGACCGATCCTATTTCCACTTCTGAAGTGATTTTATCAGCACTAGGAGTTGGCTGCTCCCCACGCCGCCCCCTACCTGTGAGTACAGAATCACCTCAGGAGAAAGAGAAAGTATGGGTTTTCTTCCACTCTCCTTTAGGCAGCAGTGACTTACCGCAATGGCCTTGATGCAGTCGAGATAGCTGGTTTTCTTTACGCAGGAGACAACAGGACCAGCCTCAAGGACAGTATTCATATTTTCACGGAAACTGGAGCACTTACTGGCTTCATGACTTGAAACGGTGCACCATCTCACAGTTTTATCAGGGACAGCCAGGCACAGCCCTAGGGAGAGACACCAGAGATCCCTGTGTCAGTGGGAGACAGCTGCACCCACTTCGGAAGGGTCATGGAGGCTGCATCCCCTCTGTCCTGCCCTCCTTCCACTCCTGTCCACAAACAATGAAGGGCATGGGCTCCGCTACACTCTGAGTCTGGGGACAAGTGATGGGCACACCAGTGGCCTCTTAGTTTCCCACTGACCAGCCTGTGCTGGTCAGAGGGATGCCGGCTTAACCATCAGCTCTCAATTGGAGACAGTGATCTGCTCCTCTGTTCTCTGAGTCTCCTTCATTCACCGTCATGGCCTGTGACCTGCCACGGGACACAGACTTCAGGATGCACAAGGAAGTTTTAGCTACATCAAGGTGTTGGCTCAGTGCTACAACTCTGGGAAGCCAGAAGGGTAGGCATTACATCTTTTAGTATTTAGTATCTTTTAGAGATGAGGAAACTGGGCTCAGAGAGGGCTACTTTACCCAAGGTTACCTAGCCTGTTAGTAGCTGGTCGCTAGTTAGTAGACCAGGTCTCCAGACTTTGGTCTCTGCCCAGGGAACAAAAGAAGATAACGTTGAGTTGTTTTCCATCTTCTTGGCCAGTAGATAGGGGTAAATGACTGATGAAGCAACGAATTTGTTTGTGACACTTGTCTGTCATCCTCTGATTCAGGAATAACTAGAAACTCCACGTATTGAATGTTTTTCTCTGTTTCTGATGATCCATCCCTCAATTTCTACCATTAGGCTTTTTGGCTGCCACTGGGAGAAGCTAAAGCCAGCCATGTCTGTAGTTATTAATCCACATGTTTGCAGACATGTTGTCCCCATGATGTGAGCATTTGGCACTGCCCCCAAAGCCCTCTGTCATTTCTTCTCTGTGGACTAACAGCACAGGGCTGACTTAGGGAAGTTGATGAATATCCGCAAAGCACAAAGCAGGAGCAGGGAGGGAATGGCTCTCCCAGATAGAAAAGGAGGGGCCGTAGGGAATTACTCCCCCAAGCACCCTTTATTCTACCTCTGCCCTTGGGAAATCAAAGCAGGCAACAGGGGGTCAGTGGTAGGTCCTCCCCAAAACCACTTCTCCAAACCCTCCCCAAACTACCCCTCTTGAGGTCCCAGGGCAGGAATTTGCCCTCAGTCATATATTTACTTTCCACAGCCCTATGAGATTTTTCTGAAGTTGGGAAGAGGGGAGGGCAAAGGCAGGCAAGGTGGGTGGACTCTCAAGGGCTAACTTTTTCAGGAGAGACAAATAACCTCACACAGAAGGCTCCAAAGATATGACAAATGCCCCATGAGTGGCAGGCAAAAGTTAGAAGATACAGGGGGCCCAACAGTTTCAAGAGATGATGGGTGTGGGAGTGCCATCCAGTGACAGGCTCTGAAGCACAGATGGTGTGCAGCAAAGTCCACTCCACTAGTGCCTGGATCTGTGGTCTCATTTATTCTCACCTGACCCCCAGTCCAGGCTATCCTACCCTTCTCACTGCTAAGGACCCAAAAAGTTTGGCTTCAAATTCCACACTCTGAACCCCTTGACAGCCCTGCCTCATTAGCGGGCCATGGAAAGCATCAACAGCATCCATGGGGCATGAGACCATCCTTGGGGATTGGGGCACATTGGGGGAGGTCTTGAAAGCCATTCTAAGCTGTTTGGACTTGCTTGAAACCGCAGCGAAGGGATTTGCTAAACAATGATGGAAGTGCCCCAATTTATTGTATTCCCCTACTACAAGATTTATTGGATACGAGGAGGAGGAAGCAAGGAGAGCGTGAAAAGGTGGCAGAGGCACAGGCAGCACCAGCAGATGCAAGCTGGTGTAAAGCTGCCCCATAGCTGTCCCCGAGGCTGTGCTGAAGGAGGTGCAGAGGGGCGGCGGAGAGAAGTAAAGGAGAGGTCTCGGGCTTCCAGCCAGAACACTAAGCCCAGGGCCGGTGCGGCGGGCTCCGGGGCGCAGGGGGCTCGGCGACTCCGGGCCTTCCCAGGGCCCGCACTCACCCAGGACCGCGCAGGCCAACAGGGCGCGGACGGCGAGCCTCATCCTCCCGGGGTCTGCGGTGCGATGCGATGGGGAGTGCCAAGCACAGAGGGACCTGCTTCTGCGCCTTCTCCCTGCGTCCCGCGCCTCTTTATCCCCCGCGGGGCTGGCCAAGCACAATCTTTGACCTCCTATGTTTGCGCAGCCCGCTTGCCCAATCTCCCCTCAGCCCTCCCCCTTCTCTCCGCGCCCTGGCTGATCACCTCATTTCCTGACCTCTGGGACGGACCCATGGATGGAGTCCAGCAGAAAAATGCTGATTGGAGGGAAAGAAAAATCAACCCGTTGTTAACGCGCACTTGTTCTGTGCCAGGAGCAGAGCTGCCCAGGGCAGGGACGGGGATGGCTCTGCTTCCGAATCCCGAGGTGCCAGAGCTGG